CTTCCATCCGCTGGTTCACTCCTCAGATAGCTGCAACTGCCCGAGCTGCGCTGATTCGAAGCCAGGAACCAGGAGCTTCTTCTGGGTCTCCCACGCGGGTGCAGGGCAGAAGGACTTGGGCCATCTTCTACTGCTTTCCCAGGCCATGGCAGAGAACTGGATTGGAAATGGAGCAGCCGGGACTCGAACCGGCGCCCATACGGGATGCCGGCACTGCAGGCGGTCGCTTTACCTACTATGCCACAGCGCCGCGCCCCCCACCCCCAGTTCTGTTTTCAAAATCTTTTTAGGACTATTTGGATCTGTCCGGAATGGGCTTGGCTGGTGGTGCAGCACACTGTTCAAAGTTATGCTGTGTAGCTGCTGTGTAGGATGATCCCAGGAATTCTTAACTTCAAGGAACCGAGTTCTGAAGGGGATCCCTGTGCACGGCTCCCCGTGACTTTCCCGCCCTACTTCTTAGCACCCTGGTTAGAAGCTGGGGCGTGGGGCCCCGCACTTCCCATTCGGCTCACCTCCAGAGCTGAGCTGTAGGGGGACAGATGAAGATGAAAAGCAAGGTGGGGGGCTCCTCACCCTCTGGGGGCACCAGCTCCTCCAGTGGGGCAGGCACTTTCCTGCCTGCAGTTTTGGCGCCTGCCAGTTCCCGTCAACACCATTGCTACCCTTGTCGGAGACTGCGTGGGTTTAAAGCAGGCGCGAGAACGTGGAAAGAAAAGATCAGGAATACGGAAATTCTCTCCCTTTCCCTTACCATTCGCTGTTTGCGTCCCCACGTCCTCACAGGGTGCTCCTGGAGATCTCTCTGATCAGGACTAGGGCCCGCGGCTGGGTGTGGGGTGTCAGTGGAGTCAGGCCCACAGGGAAGAATGGCCCAGTGCGGCCTTTGGGGCGGCTCTGGTCGGTCCTTGCGCTTCGGGTCCGTTCCTCTGCGCTTGTGCGCTGTTTCCTTTCGGGAGCCCTCAGTGGCGAGCCACGCCTCCCGTGCGGGCTGCTCCACGGCCCCGGCGTCTGGTATACCTACGCGTGAGGGCTCTGGCCACGGTCTCGCCCCACTCGCGTGGATCTGCTAGTAAGCGCCGAACACCCGCTCGGCCCCACGCACGGTGATGGCAAGGGATTCACCCGGCTCCAAGGTGTTGAGCACACAGCTCCTGCCTGAAACACACTTCCTGGATGTCCCCCCATGGACTGCTTCCCTGAAAAGGCAGTCCTGCGTGGGAGCCCCAAACCACCCTCCACTCCCCGCGCTCTGGGGCAGGCTGAGCGCTTCGGAGGGGGGCGTTCTCAAACGCGCAGGCCTGTGGTTTTTGAGAGAACACAAGGCATAAAAGCATCTCATCTTGCAGGATTAGTTTCTGCTGAAGCCCACTTGATGCGACATCTGAAAATAATCTAAGATACGTCTTGTTTTCAGCCTGCAAATGACTTTGTGAAACTTTGGGAGGAAATTCTCCACTTAAGGGGAAAAAAAAATAAGAGAAATTGAAATTGAGATCATGGGGAAAAAGGAAGATGGGCTGCACCGAGAGTGCTTGCATTTGTTAATGGCCTTTCTGTTTGTAAACAGGAGTACCTCTAAAAACCTGGAAGTGGCTTTTGTCATTTCCAATCGCCCCACACAGCACATGCCCAAAACCTCGATAACTTCCAAATTCCTTCGCTTAGGATCCTTTTTCGGAGCACTCCAAAAAACTGAATTTGCTACACAAGTCACAGAACTGGAGGTAAAATTATTGCAGGCTTTGATTTTTAGTTTTTTAAAATTTTATCGTTTAAAATAATTTTCACTTCATTTGAGAGGTAGAGAATGGAACAGAGACTGGGTGAGATGTCCATTTGCTGGTTCACTCTCCAAATGCCTGCAGCTATCGGGGCCGGGCCTGGCCAAAGCCAGGAGCCAGGAGCCAGGAGCCAGGAATGCAAGCCTGCCACAAGAGTGGCAGAGATGCAGGTCCTTGAGCCATCGCCTGCTGCCTCTTCGGAAGGGCGTTAGCAGGGAGCTGGATTGGAAGTGGAGCCGGGACTCAGACATGCCAAGTACCATCTTAACCGCTGAGCCAAACACTCGTCCCTGAAGGCCTATATTTTAATTCCTCCCTCTAAGTTCTTCTATTTGGAAAGAAGTCGATGCACAGTCTCACCCTAGAGAATCCAATGATATTGAACTTTTTTTTTAAATAAAACAAAGATGGCATCAGCCAAGAAAACAAAAATGGATATGAACTGAATGATGAAGAGTGAAGAAGGGCCCACATGGAGTTCAAAAGAAGAGACTGCACGTGAGGATGAGGATGAGCAGGTGTGCTGGCCAGGTAAGACAAAATGCAGGCAGGCTGGGGAGGCCACTGTGACGCAAATGAAATTCAGTAGCTTCCAAAACCTGGGCTCGGGATGGGAAGGAACTGCCTCTTGTTTCAGCGGTTAATGGGGGAACTGGAGTTCCTACAGCAGTGCGTTAATACACAGTGCTAACATCCAGCGGGGATGACAGCCAGTTTTACTATGTGAATTTCTGGTTTCTAATATGCATTTGAGCTTTATTTTTCACAGCTGTCCTTGTCTTAATCCTTCACTTTGTCCTCCCTGGGGTCTAATGGTTTCTAGTTACACATGAGCGTTTTAAGCAGCATGTCGCCCGTCAGGCAGCACATGGCTTCTGATGGTTGTGGCATTTGGGTCACCACTAGTTCTTTGGAAAGACGAGCGTTCCTGTGAACAGCACAGCGAAGTCCCTCAGATGATTGGAACGTGGCAGCACAGGTTCAGAGTGCAAGCTAGAAACCCAACCAAATGCCTTTTGCAACCAGCAGCTCAATGTGGATTCCTGCCATGAGGCAAAATGCTGGGGACGTTCCCGCATGCTGGCATCACTGGGTTTGGGGTCGGCATGCTGAAACGGGGACTCATTATGTCCCTACCATGCCAACTCGGTGCAATTAGTCTAACACGATAATTTCCTGCAGCCATATGTTGATCTTTAGGGGAGGGAAAATTCCTTATGCCTGATGGCTCTGAGCTCTGACTAGCACGTCCTAACACGCAGCAGAGTTCTGTCCATCAGGATGACACATGGCAATCAAAAATGAAGCAGGACAGCCACCCGGCACGGCGACACAAAGCCTAGAGCAGGTCGCGTACTTGTTGCAAAGAGCTGGGGATTTCTCTTTCTTTCCAAGGAGGCATTCAGAGGAAGGTCAAGGGTGCACCATTGTGTGCGAGGCTGAGCCCCTCCACTGCCACGCACACAAATCAGAACAGTGCAGGGACCTAGAACACAGTGAGTTACATTCCAGGACTGAAAGGCTTGTGTTCCCATTGGAGACCCATCAACGTGAACTCGCACTGTTGGGAAATCTCTTCTGCTAGCCCTGTTAATCAATGCCCCTGTTCATTACACACCTCTGATGAATACAGGTAATGATTGGGTACTCAAGAGTCAGGTGACGAAAATAACTGTGCCTCGCTGAGGATCAATAGCTTTTCCCCAGGATCACTCCGGCCATTCAATATTCTCAGCCTCCCTCCTCCCAGCCCCCACCAGGTGATCCCCTCTAGCCCTCCCTGATAGAGCAGCCTCGTCCTCAAGCTGCTTTATTAAATTAGTAGCCCTTGATCTCCGGTCCTATTGTCACCCGACACTGGGCAAGCAGGCAGCTGGCAAGTCTCTAGTGCATGGCCCAGGAGCACCCAGGGCCACGACCCAGGCAGTGCTGCTCCACTTGGCGCCCGGAGCCGTCTTTGTGGGTGCCTCTGTGCCAAACATCGGGCTCTCTTGTCACTTAATCACATTTAAAACAACTTGTTTTTTTCTTAAAGAAAAGAAGGGGCCATTCGAGGGAGAATTCGTGCCAATTACAGGCATGTTATGACAGATGAAAATACCATAATTACACTTGGATTCCCCGCAGGAGTGCGTTAACACAGCCGTGACATGGAATAACCACGTGTCTCCGCAGAGGCGGACTCCCCAGAGTTGCTTAACCTTTCTTTGCCCTCTCCTGAAAAACATCTATGGGTGCCTAGAAAATCATGGAAGGAGACCCCCACCAAGGCTCGGGGACCAAAATCCTTGATATCTTGGGAGGGACCCTCAGGAAGTGACCCTGGAAGCCAAATGGCTCCTTACATGGGCCTATGAGTTGGGGGCAGCCTGGCAAGAAACCTAGGGCCAGGGGTTTGCTGTAGATCTGGGCAGCTCATGGTCCTGGGTTACTGGCCCGAGGCAACCAGAGAAGTGCATGGTACAAGCTGGGGAGACTTGGGACAAGCAGGCTCCGGATGGAGAACAGAGAACGCTGAATTGGAAGAGGGACTCCAGCCAAAGCTTGACTTTAGTCTTGACATTGAACTGGGATTGGGTTAAGGGGCGAGCATAGTGTTCAGTCCTGTTGCAGCTCTATCTGCTTCTTCTCATGGTCCCTTAAACCTTATGAGAGGGGGACGTGTCACCAACTATGACATCTTTCCATCTGCTGGTTTTACTTCTGGTTGTAACAAACACCATCAGCAGAAAACCACCGCCAAGAGAATATAAATTGAAAGACAAACATTTAGTCTGAAAAAAACAGGCATCATGCTAGTGGCTGCTGTCCACACACTGGAAAGGGTGAGCAAGGGAAGCAAATGTATGTGCAGGATGCTAAGGTGCAAAGACACCCATGTTCTTCCTTTAATCTTCTGTTCCTCAGGAGAGTAAGGGCAAAGGCTTTGCGGAAAGGAATTCTGGAAAGAGGCAGAAAAGGCATCCCCAAAGGGAGCGCTTTGGTGAGGGGCAATGCATGCTGGCCCCCACTGGGACCGGCTAGAATCTGTAGCTCTGGCTCAGCTTTGCCACCTGAGTCAAAGACAAATTGGATCTTCCAAGGAAGTCTGCTAACTAGTACAGTGATTCAGTCCAAATGGGAGACCAGCTGTGTGAGTCAGCCACGTGTGCTGAGATAGGGTGACTGTCCACTAGAGTTAAGTTTCTCCAAATCAAAGAGGTCGGACAAGATCAGTGACTGATAAATCTTTAATATAAAAATTGTACAAGAATTCTGATACAAATTACAAGAGGTATTTGGACAAAATATGAATAAAATTCCATTTACATCCCCAAACCCTTATGCATTTTATGCAAAAGACATACTGTTGACAGTTATAGTACAGAAAATACAATAAAGGAAATAGCAAATAAAAATTTGTAATGACCTTAGACTACTAAGAAAAATAAACCAAAACAAACACACAAATAAAACCCCCTTGTTTAAAGTCCATACAGTATTGATGAAGCTACCGACGTCACGATGATTGGGTGGGGGTGGTGCGAGTGGCCCCGTCCCCTGGCGCAGTGACCTTTTGTGGGACACACTTTGGTTCTGCAGCAGGCTTGACGGAAGAGCCCAGTTAGATACAGATGAAGACAATACAAACCAAGAAATAGCTACACCCCCAGACTCTGGGGAGGGAGAGGACCTATCGCTGGGCAAATTTCTTTTCCTCAAGAGCCTCCTTTTAGCCATGTTTTGCTGTCAAGTCTGCAGGTTGAGTCAAATGTTTGTGTTCGTGGAGCCCCAGCAGGGGGCTGGCGGTGAGTGAGAAAGCTATGTGTTCTCCCAACTGTGTGAGGGATTTGGCTAGTTCTAAAAGGATTATCCCAGGATCAGGAGAGAGCCCAGAATTCTCTTTCCCACAGCCCCAGTCTGTCCCTGAAGCTCTGCCTTTGAGGACACAGACAAGAAGCAGGAGCGTCACAGAACAAGGGTTCCAGGGACCCATGGACAGGAATGTCTGCCTCCCTTAAGGCCACCCGCCCTGAGTGTGTTGTTGAGTGGGGCGAGCCCGGCTGGGGATCTCCGACCAAGGGCTTCTCCCAGTTTCTCAACCTTTTTTGCCCCTCTAATTCCCATGGGCCCACAGTGGGCTTCCCCACACTGTGTGCACCTGCTCACCCAGGTGGGAACATGGCAGGTTTCTCTGCAGCCCAGCTGAACCAAAGTCTGCACAGGAACGCGCATGCACCACGTGTTACGAATCCTAGACAGTCGTATCAGATTAGCGCAGAAGACTAGAGCCTCTCATTCGCATAATTCACGTTAGGTAAATACCGCACAGGGTAGCACACACGCAGGAATCCATCGCGTTGCACACGGTGGGGGGAGGGGAGTGTGCTACTTTCTTCTGAAGAGATGATAGGGATGATGATGACTTTGAGAGGGGTGGGTGAGATAAGAGCAGCAGAGGGCTGGAGTTAAGAGAGAGAACGGGAAGGTCTGGGGAGATTGAAACAGGCAGCGAACGGGATGGATTGCTGTGTACAAAGACATGCAGAAACCCTGCAAATCGAGTACTAGATGAAAACAAATAAACAGTCAGCCTTGGTTTATGCATCTCAAGTGAACCTATTAACTCAGCACATTGTCTGGGAGTTCAAGAGCCTCGGACCTCCCGAATCAATGCTTCTCACACCACAGCACTAAGTCGGGCTGGGCTGGGCTGGAAGGGGCGGGCAGCGAGGCTCCTGCGCAGCCAGGCCCAGAGCAGTTCACCTCGCAGGGGCACTGCAGAGAGAGCTGCAGTGTCGCCCCCTCTTTTGGAAAGCATTTCCAGGGCAGATGAGTGGAGCTCTCAACGCCCAGGCTGTCCCCAGAGTCACCTCTCAATCCTTGCATTCCAGAACAGGAGTGGGCAGAGCCGCTTAATAATGGATGGGTTTGCCATCTTAGCTGTGCATTATCTCAGCGTCGCATTTGGCAGCAGGAAGCCTTAGAAAATCTTGGAATAGCATGTAGATAACTCTGTCTCTCTTCAAGAAATATACTTTTCTCCTATCTACTGGTCTCCATTTTTTGTTAAAATACCTTTTTCTCTTCTTCCTTTCAAAGATTTTTTTTTTAAAAAAGCAAAACAAAGGTTTTAAAAAACCGTTAGAAATATCCTTAGGCATCCCTGTGATTTAGAGTGAAGGGGAGGAAGCCAGTATCAGCTGGCAGAATTTGTGCAATTTTTGGCAACTGAGTTTTCAATGAGAAGATTGAATTGTTTGCTAAATGGTTATAATATATACATCCTGGGACACTTTAAAATATAAAGTCAGTTGACTGCCTTTTCTCTGACCCAGGGTTTGTTGTTCAAAGTGCTTTTCTAGCCAGCGCTCAGATGGGTTCGTGACATCACTTACCACGGACAGGTTTGGCCACGCAGACCTGTTACGCTGCCTACCGCTACATCTGCTGCTTTGCCCTCCTCACAGAAGTTCACGTAGACACGGCCCTGGCGTGTGTCATATTTGCTTGACTAATGTCTTATTTGCAATGTGCCTGCTTGCACTGGGGTCCAACTATCTTCCACTGCCCGAGAGTGGAAGCCAGCATCCTATGTCCTGGCTCCAGAAGGAAGACAGAGAGTCATTAGCCACTCTCCAATACACAAAAACAGCAGTGGCTAAGGACACACTGTTGGGGTTCAAGGTATTCTGAGATCTGACCTTTCCACATACAGCTACCTTTATCCCTTTGCTCCCTGTCACTTGATTTTGTAGAACACACCGTACTGTGCCATACTTACCAAAATTCTCCAAAGTGAGGAACTGGCCTTTTATGTGCAGGGTAGTCCTTGCTTTAAAGATTAAATTCAAAAGCTCAGCACCTTCTCCTCCCCCCCAAGATTGTCAGTCAAGTTTGACAAAATGAAGGTCAATTTTTCAAGTTACACGCTACGGATCTGAAGGCTGTCACTGGAAGATACATGTATTCATTTAGAAACATGGTTGACACCAGAGATAAAAAAATGTTTTGACCACCACACATGACCAATTTGTTGATAACAACACGTGCACTTTTTGAAGGAGCCAAAACAGATCTTAACTCTTTCCTTATAGAACTTGATGTCATCTACTCTTACTTCTGCCACCGACTTGTAGGAAACTTTGCCCTAATTATAGGGCCGCACCCAGTGATCACAACATGGATGGGCATGCAATTGCAATACTCGTGTTTCCAAAGAAAGGAAGAATCTCTCCACTGGCCCTTTACTGAAGAAGCCATCATGCTTCGGTCCGCCTCGTAGCTGGAGAGGGCACGCAGTGGCGGCCTCGCGCTCTGGAAGACAGGAGGTGTGTGCCTGTGCCTGTGTGTCAGCAGCAAGACGGTGAAGGAGAACGGGAGGGGGAGAGAGGGAGAAGTGGAGGGAGGCTGCGAGTGGATGTGTGTGTACATCAGGGAACCTGGTGGGAAAGCCTGGCCCTGGTACTCAATTTCCCCTTCACAAGGGATAAACAGGCAATTACGCATCCTTTTATATTTGATGGCCAAGTGCTGAAGTGGAAAGCACACTATTAGTTGGTGTCCCTTCAGGGCCAGGGCAGTAAGTAGCCGGGAGAGCTGGGGCTCCAGCAGAGAGGGTGTTGTCTGCTGTTAGTGTGACAGTCTTGTCAGCGGCGTTCACATTACTGGAAGGTAATAAAGTGACAAGGAAGTTATTAGAAAGATATGAGGTGAAATTGAACTGAAGCTTCTTGCTGCTCAGCCTGGCTTTCCCTTGCCTGTTTTGTAAGGGCCCCGCTATTTGTTACAAACCGAGCCTTGTCTCGATACGCTATAGAAGGAAGATTTTTTTTCCCCGTGCAGTAAAGGTCAAATGAATTTACAACAACACTTTAGAGGAGAAGAATAAAGATAGTTTTATGACAACTCTAGCATGTTGCTTCGAAAATATATATAGCATTATAATGAACAATAATGCTCATCCAATTCAGTGTACTTGTAAAAACACTTAGTTTTTTTAACCCTCTCTTATTAGGCATTTGGATTTTTTTTAACAAATGCCAGAAAGACAGCATTTGACATCCAGTTATTGCTGAGTGACTGTAAAAATCATTTTGTGCAAGATGTGGGAGAAGGAGGATGATGGAAGGACACGGGAGGATGGGAATCTGGGCAAGAGCGACGACAGACTGTTCACAGGTCGGTTGTGCAGCCGGGTTGCCATACTACCCTTCGGAAATCACCATTTATGGTAAGCAACTCTCTCACCACAGGAAACGCGGAGTAAGCCCGGGCCAGGGCCAGTGTGGCCTCAGGAGTAACACAAGCAAGGCTGATAAGCATGGCTGAACTCTGAGGAAAACAGGAAGGCAGAGTGGCTCAGGTGCCCCCTACGATGGCGCATGAGCTCCCATTCTGGCCAGAGCGTGTGAGTGCTAATAGAATCGCCGCTTGCCTGTTTGGCCGCAGCGGCGAGCAAAATCGTGACAGCCACAGAAACAGGTCCAGCCTGGCACCATCCACATCCGCTCTGCTCAGCCCTGTTAGAACTGGGTTTCACCAGCAGCCTTTCATGAACCTGGGGACCCCTTGCAGCGTGTTGCTCCTCGAAGAACTCCAGCCTCACATCCCACTGGAAAACAAAACCAAAGCAAACCGAAACACCCACGGCTGCTCCTCCCGGCTCGGCCACTTGCGGGGCTCGCTGCAGCTGCGCCTGCTTTCCTCCTGCCTTCCTCAGGAGCCTTCAGCAACTCACCTGCTCCTGGGGATCATGCAAGCCACTGCCTCAGGACGCTCAAGCCCACTGCCAGGCAGAGCCTTGGCAGATTCTCCCATGCACAAACACTTGCAGGGCAGTCACAGTTTTCTTTCCTGGCTGCCTTCAAGCCGGGGCAGGAACCAGCTCTCCACCTAGTCTCACTCACTCTTCTGATGGAAAACCTCGAGTCCTGTTTTTTTGGCACCTGCCTTTTATTGCAATCCTTACTCATTGGGACCCTCCTGCTGAAAAAAAGAAGGCGAGGGAAAAGCAAAAATATTTAAATAGTCTAAGAAGTTTTAAGGGCGTAGCCATAGGATGAAAGAAGGTTTCTTTCGGATGATTTGTTTCTTTAAGAGAGCAGGTGTAGCCCGTCTTTACTGTGTTAGTCAATCTAGCTTAATGCTAACAGACCAGATACAAGTTAGGACTGCTCAGGTCTAGCTGTTAGCAGCTAGCAGCCTGCGCATCTCAGTCTGGCTCATTGCTGCCTCGCGTTTTAATCGCCCCAAGTCCCCATTCTCCTTTGCTTGGCACGCATGTGGAGCAGGGATAGAGGAAGGGAGAAGGGGGAAAAGGTCACAGTTTAGTTGTGAGGAGGATGCCTGTGCAACAGCCCATTCTTGATATATTCAAAGCTTCCCACCCCCCAGAGCAATGTATATACTAATTGGACTGTTAACCACTTAAGGGCCTTTCTCCTCTTTCTGGATCCGCCTGGAAATTCATGACCCAAGAATCACCCTTACAAGGTGCCATTGTGTTCAACGTGTTGTTGTCTTATAAAATGTTTGTCACGTTGAGAAGGAAAACCTGAGCACATTTAAACCTTACAAGAGGCATCAGGCTGAGCAGAGGAGCCACAGTAAGACCTAGATTAATTACATTTGAGTTGACTTCTTTAAATACGGTTAATAGCACAACAAAGACTGTCAAGTTTTTTACAACATTTATAAAACCCAAAGACCTATTGTCTATGCTTTTTTCTTGCTCTTTCTTCTCCCTCCATGGCATGTTGGTGCTCCTGGAAGTGGCCTAAGTGTTTTGTCATTTACAAGACCTAGTTTAAAATTATCCAAACCGTAAGTTCCACCAGTGACACTCCCTAATGTTGTACCTGTGAGAAAACACTAGCTACAGTCAATCCAGTGGGGAAAGGCTTCTGGGATGAAAATCTGTATCACAATTAATTTTCAGCCAGCACAAAATGGATGCAGCTTAGAGAGGAACTGTTGCAGGCAACTCCTGTGAAAAAAAAACAAATGAATAGGAATGGGCAAAGAGGAAGAGCTCAGCCATGAAAATGTTGGCGTCTTTGTCCTTCCTGTCGGCCCATCAGCGTTTGGATCACCGCATTAGCTAGAACCAGAGTGAAGTCGCGCCGGCACACAGGCGCACACCCGGGAACTAGCAACACCGTGGGGTCAGGATGCCATGCTTTCTGATTTTCGCCTTAGCTACCACATCCCTCCACTCTCCCAGTTCCCTTTAAGCAAACAGGCTTTCTGCTGGAAAATGTTTTCTACCCACTTGGAAGGCCACCATCACAACGAGGCACTTGAGGCGCCAAAGTAGTAGCAAGTACAGGGGATACTCAGAGAGTGCCAGCGGCTGGGACCTACTGCCACTCAGCCCTGACAAACACGGGTGAAGAAATCCACACGTCCAAGCACGCAGAACTCTAGGCTCTCAGGCCTGGAGGACTTTTCCTTACCTGGCCATACATAATTAGCCTGGTTTGTGGCAAGCAACAAGCATCTGTTCTAAGCCTGATCCATCTGCTGATGTGACCTGCTGCAAGCGACATCGACATCGCTCACTCTCGCTAGGGCTATCTGATCTCTTACTTGACATTAAACAGACTAAATGCTGACTTTGTACATGATGAGTTCTAAAATCTCAAGTATGGGTGTAACTTTCAAAAGTCGCTGACATGAAAATGTCTCTTTTCATAAAGCTAGGTGCAATTCAGTCTACGTACATCCCAAATGCCAGAGATTCCAGACGCCTTTGTTGGGCTATTAACAAACATGTTTCCACCCTTTTGGAATCTCACCATTTGGTAAAGGGGCAACAGCGCGACAGAGAGAACGCTAAGAGGACCAAAATGTTTGCAAACAAACGTTCATTATTCTAGTTCAATCTTTCACAAACATACTGTACAGAGTCTTATATGGTATAAAACAAAGGAAAACATCTCTGTCTATTCAATTTAACACAACACCAAAATAAAGCAATTAAGACTTTGGAGAATTCAAAAGTTCAAGAAAACAAAAATGGTTATTACTAATTCCTCAGCTTTGTACAGTAAACATTTGTCATCTGACAGCCATAGTGTTTGATTTTGTTTCTTTTGTATTGCAAATACTTTTGGTCTTTTCTCACTGCAGAACAAATGAAGAATTCAATGAACCCCATAGCATCCTCTGAAGGAGGTGACAAGATAAAGCTTTCAGACATATCTAGCTTATCTTCAAGAATCTATTGTTTCTGAAATTTTCACAAATAAAAATACTGAATTCCCAGCTAATGATGCTTATTTTTGGAAACAATAAATACTGTGAGGTACAATAAATCCTACAGGCATAATCATAACGACAGAAACTATCAACAGTTTCCTTTGGCAAATTTAACGGAAGTGAATGCTGATGTGAACACAGAGAAAATAATTACAAAACATAAAAATGGAAACGACATGGAAAGTTAAAACAAAGGGATATTTCTAACTTTCAGACTGATAAGAGAAATGTTGAGGCCATTTAAATGCAGAAAAGTAATACATTCTCTTTAAATTAGTGTGTACTGTTTGACAAAGTGTTTCTTGTTTTTCTTTCCTTTTCCCCCTCCACTTTAAGAAAAAAAAAAAAAGACAACAAAATGTAGTCTGCAAAGCACACCCTAATGGTTTTGGCTGCAGACTGAACTTGAGTAAATATCATCATTTAGTCAGTATGTTGTGGTAGCTGAGGCTGCCGATGTGGTTAACCAGCTCAGGCAGCATGTGTAAACATCGGAAACAAAACAGAACAAAACAAAACAAAACAGGTTTGCAGAATAGTCTCTCCCTCTTTCTCACTCTCAATTGCTTGGTTTCAGGCTTGCTTTCATTTCTCTCTGACAAATCGTGTGGGGAAACACAAAACACTCAACAGAGAGAGATCCTGTTTTAACCACCCCCCCATACCCCCAACCCCGCCACCCCTCCTGGCTCTTCAGAAAGGAGAGTCGCTCAGTTCAAGTTCAGCACATGTTTTCAACGCTTCCCAGCACTGCTGCTGCTACACGCGTCTTTTGATTTTGTCTACCCAACAGGCCTGCATCGTAGCACTACTGCAGATTGTGCAACACATTAGACAGCCACGCGAGAGACCGGCCCAGCTTACACTACTGCATTCTTTATGGAGGGTAAGGGCTAGGGCCTTGGGAATGAGTGTTCAACCCTTTGACTGCATTCAGCTTTGTTTCATAGTGAGTAATTTGGGCTTTTGTATCCTGAAATATTATCCTGCCTCTAAAGAATAAATGCCTTGCCTGTTTCACACCACATAATTTTGTTTTCCTTTTATGTAACTTAACATATAAGCACGAAGGATGCAATGTTGATTCTAATAACATTCAGCACTTGAAAGAATCACTGAGTGATTTTTGTAAAAGCGGTTTTCTGGTGGCCGACAAATTGGCCTGTGGTTATGTTGAGTGACTAATTGTATTTTCTTTTCTGGAAACTTGTGCAAAGTTGGCAGTTTTGTGTTAACACTAGTACTTCTGTTTGGCATTTGTGCCCTATACTGACCAGACCATTTTTATACAAGTGAATTTTTTTTAAAAAAGACACTTACTGAAGTATGGCAATAGTTTAAGGATTAAAAAAAGAAGCATGGATATTACACATCCCCTTGTAGTGTATGAAAAAAAGTGCATGACTGGACTTAAGTACTAGTACAGGACATTTTAAAAAATTAGATCCGTGCTGTGAAGCATGCCAGCACCTCTTCATCACTACAGCTAACAGGTAGTAAAAACAAGACCATGTTTTCTTTTTTTTTTTTTAAAAATGTGCATTAACGCTAACATAAATGGATAGAGCTAGCCAGCAAACTATTTTTTCCTGCGTATCTAACAGCTGGATGTAACTGTAAAAATTAAACAAAAAGAGTTCAACAACCATCAGTACAATTGTTTTACATCATTGGCCTCTCAAGGCTAAGTATTTACAGGTGAATCTGCCATGCTTTACTTGAAGATTCTCTCAAAACCTTAAAAGTTCACAAAAGACAACTATAAGAAGTTCCTTTTTGTTTCTTTTTTCTTTTTTTCCCTTTTATTTTTTGCAGGCAACAGTCATGGGCACAACAAGTTGTCTCTTTGGAGAAGACCGAGAATGATTCTGTCAAAATGGGGGCGAGCTGCACACGTGTGTGTGTGTGTGTGTGTGTGTGTGTTTGAAGGGGTACTCTGTTTTTATACCCCCAAATTAAAGACCCCACCCGTTCCCCAAAACTATAAAGGAAAAAGAAAAAAAATTAAAAAGCACCTAGTGTTTCTCTTTTTCATCTAAAGAAGTGTGTGTGTGTCTATGCAGACCCGGAGGCGTAGACACCTACACACACACACACCCCCAAGTACGTAAGCACACAATGACTATGGCAGTTCAAACACGGAGGCCATCTGGTGAGAGCTGGCATTTGTAGTGTCCGTTCTGGGACTAATCTACGGAAGTGAAGGGAATGTTTTTGTGGAGATTGGGGTTCTGACTGTGCCTATTTCGGCTTCGCACGGAGGAAAACATCATATTGCAACCTGGGACTTTGCACTTGTGCATTTCTCGCAGATGCACCGTTTTGTAGTGCACCCGCAGGGTCCCCTTGTTGCTGTACATTTTGTGGCAGATGTTGCACATGATCCCACCATTGCTCCCAGCCAAGCTGCTGAACATGAGAGATCCGGAAACTTCAGCCCCCAGGCCACCAGGGAGGGCAGGGGGCTCAGCCTTGTGCGCCGACTCCCCACTGTCACTGGCCCCGTCGATGTCGTCGAGAAGAATGCCCTCATCGCTGCCGGCATCGGATTCCCGGGAGGAGTGGATGCTGCTGCTGGACTGCAGGCTGGAGGTGGTGCTCAGGTCAAGGACCATGTAGTCCTCCGCCATGCCTCTCCCGTACCCGTTCAGGTGGGAGTCTTCAGTCCCTGCGGGAGAGGAGGCATCTTCCCTGACGTCAAGCCCCATGGGGTGCTGGGCACCATAGATCTTCACCAAAAATTCATCCCGGAGGTCCTTGCTAAGGGAGGGCTGCGAGGGGTCCAGACCCATGTCATCCAGTTCTTTGGTCAACAGTTTACGATGCAGATTTATGTTGGCACTGTGTCTAGGAAAACAAGAGGGAAGGGGGGGTGGGTGCACAGGGAACGGGCAGGGGCGAGAAAGAGGAGAGCATTTTACAATTGATTCGGCTTGCAGGAGGCATCAAATAAGCACATTCCTTGCTAATTACACCATTATAAAAGCAAGCATTTCCCCACATCCTCAGGATTTGGGCTAAGTGGTGCTGGGAGGTGCAATAAGGGGAACTTTCCATTAACATAGTTTTTATGAGAGTAAAATTCTTCAATGGCAGGATGTATGCAGGCCCATGCACCTTTTCCTCAGTGACGGTTCTGCAGTGTTACTGCGTGGCAGCAGCAGCAGCTACAGGGGATCCCACAGCAGAGATCTTAGAATGGGGATTCAATAGGGTAAGAGAAGGGAAACAGCATGCTTGCCAAAATGGAGTAGTCTAAATTTACCTACAGGCACAGCAAACAAAACAAGACAAAACAAAACTGTTTTAAAAATACAGCAAACACTGTATTTAGAGCATTATAAAGGATCCAATTTTAAAGAAAGTAAATAATCCAGATAGTTATTTTCGTTTTTAAAAATTGTTGAAATCTTCCCTTCACCTCCCTATATTTTAAGTTTTAGGTAGGAAAAAAATTCAGCTAAACTGATTAGCAATTTGACAGAAAGTTAAGGACTGTCCTTAACAACACAAATTCCTTTTCTCATGATTTGGGATCCCAGTTAAATGACATAGTAAAATACTTGTATTTTTCAAGAGTTGCTGCATTTTCATGTTAAAATATTCTGAGCAATTCTAGTTTAAATTTTAATTCTTTAAAATAAGAACTGAAAAATAAAAATAAATTTTGTAAGTAAAACCCACCCAACCCTTAAAAAATTTACACTAAACAACAGGAAAAAAAACCCCAATGGGACAAAAAACTAAAACACAATAAAATAGCAATTAAAAAAAATAAAAATCAGGCACAACATTAACATACAATCCCAATTCGTACTTCTTAGACAAGCAAAACTTTTACTCTACTCACTGAGTGCTTTGCTTGTGTAAAAAAAGAGGATTTGTCCCAGAGCATCTACAGGGACATCATGATTTACAAAGCCTGCTAGGTTATTATCTATCTGAAAACAGTGCCTTTGTATTTACATCCCCCATTTATTTTTAAAGTGCCCTTGGGCATATACCTCTCTCCACCTGCAGAGGCTCACACGTTTGACAAGGACCTAAATTGAAGGCTACTCTTCCAAACAATAAACTAAGAAATATTCCAGTAAGGAAGAGCTGCTTGATACTGGTGGAAGCACCCCACCTTGGAGAAGGAATTCTTATCAAGGATATGACCTACACGGCCAGTAGAACAGTCTACAGACCTCTTGGTTATAATTGAAAAGTATGGAAGATCAACACGAGCCACTCCCCAGGGTGACCGGCAGGCTAGCAATGGATGGTTGAGAGGTATGTGCCGCAGAGACAAGAAAGGTGGGAACGGCTTCTCCACCTTTCCACACAAGACAATAGGAAGCACTTTGGGTTTTACCGGGCAGAGGGCGGCTGCCCTCTCCAGGCTGCACTCAGGAAGGCTGAGCTTACCTTGTGATAATAAGATCAGCTTTCTAATCTTTTGCTAAATCGATCACAAAAGAAAGCAAGAATGAGAGACAGAGAGAGAGAGAGAGAGAGGAGAGAGAGAGAGAGAGAAAACAAATTCACATTCTAGACATCTGGTTTTAAAAAAAAAAAACTTAAACAATAAAATAGGGATTTAAAATGTTCTGATCACAAAATTATTTTCTGTCATAAGCGATCATCCCATACGCTGTCTTGATGATTTTCAGATCAGCTGCGTAATCCAAAAATCATAAATCAAATTAAGATAAACCAAATTCGCAGCAGCAGCAGCAGCATCCTTAAATGAGTTCTAAACAGATGCATGCAGTATGTGGGAATGTGAGTGATGAACACAAGTTGTCCCTGCGGTCCTTGCTCTGACACAGTCACTCCCTGTTTCCGTGGTGTCAGATGGCAGATGACTCCAAGTGCAGGTTGCTAAGCAGAGTGCAGGAAATGCCTACTGTGAAGCCTTCACTCTGACATGTGGGCATGACACCAGGGTTATTACAAGAATGTGCAAACAGAGTTACACCGAGTATCGTTACTCTATTGATAAAACAGCCTGCCAGCCATAGGCAGCTCATGAAATCCTACCCCCTGTATTTATTATTTTTAACACCCTCCCCCTTTCTTAATTTCACAAACACACATTTTGCAGTGACTGTGATCTAGAACTCTGTTGTTTCTCACACATCTGCAGTTACCACTTCCTAGGCTCACTGCTGGGAAAACAGCAGCCAGACACGTCGTTGTCACGTCCAGACACACTGAATAAGGAATACATTCACACTGACAAAAGGACACACTGATCACCCACATGGACACATCTTTGCTGAGATGACTTGTGAAATTACACATCTTCACCGATATGTTACCAGGAGGAGGATTTTCTCTTCATTTCTCACTTGCAGTAGTAGAAATCTGTAATCTAATTAGATGATGTACCAGCCCTCAATATCTGTCAACCAAACGATGTGCAGAAATGTGTAGACTAGCTCTGGCACTCTGTTCAACAGTGTCCCTTTTCCGCTGTCAGCAGTACTGTTGGCCTCTGCTAATATAATTACATTGACTTTTATTCAATTAAGTGCCATCCCTCGCTTTGAAAAAAAAAAGCTACTTTATCAATTGATTCAGGTGTAATGCAATAATAAAGATGAACTCCTGGCAGTACATTAGCTCTGCTGCTCATAACTTCAGTACGCGGGTTCATTCATGGTAGTCGATTTCCATTATGCAACCACAGTTCAAGAGAAATTGATTCTTTTATGTTCATTTCTTAATCTATTTCATTTCTGTTTAATAATCCTCCTAAAATGCCATATGCAAAATATTCCAAGTAGGAACGAGGAGAATGGTCTGTGGAAGATCTAGTGGTTCACTCTCATCAAGAGTGGACTTGGAGACTGTCTAACAAACTCACACAGTCTGGGGTACAAAAAAGGAACAAGGACAAGGAGGGAAAGGCAAGACTGAAATTTTCCCTACCCCTCCAGGAGACAGGGTCCAACCTCCACAGAAGGGGCACAAGGCAGCACTTAGTTTTAACAAAGACCTCTTGTTGGACTTTTAAACAGTCAATCCAGACCATTAACTGTAATAAAACAATGTTCTCAGGAGCTCCAAAGACCTAGGGTTACTAGCCGTTGGAGGAATATTACAAGTTTATTTGGATCATCAAACCTGAAGAGGTGAAAAGAAAGGAAAGAGAAAGAACTCTCACCTACTGACATTCACAAAAGAGGATCCCCAAATGGGAGGGAGCCAGGGAGTATAGGGAGTGTAGGAAGAGGACTCCCCAGTGCAGAAGCTGGTGTCTGTAACGAGTGGGGAAAGGAATCCGTGAAGGAAACAGTGTTGAGTTCTCCAGGCATAGAGATGTTTTTTCTAGAAATAGATGTAGTGTTCTTCATGAATATTTATCTCCAGAAGAAGGAAGAACAGTCATTAACAAAAACCTAGGCTAGAGTCAGAACTTCTTATATTTTGCAAGAACATAAACGGCATGAAAGCTGCTTCTCCATGCTCTGCTTAGGTAGATAATACGGATAAGTCGGGATAAATTCCTCTTACCAAAATCAAAACGACTGGAGCGGAGAGGGAAAATGAGTTTACAGGTAGAAGAGCTGAGGATCTGGCCTCAGTAAATACTGCAGTAACTCATTAAGCCAAAGGTCCAAAATTCAGACCAGGATGGTCACTTCCAAGAACACAAATTAAATCATATTCAACTTTAAAGGTCCTGCAAATCAAGTAGACTACTTTACACACAGGAGATAATTTAAAGTCTATTTATTTGCCTTCAAGAAATAATATGCATGAGTCCTAGACAAATTTTGCCCAAACACACTGAAGGGAAGAAGACAAAAGTGCCCAGCCAAGGAGAATGCAATGCAGTGTTTGAGAAGACAGGGGTGACACCGAAAAGGGTCACTCTGATACTACCAACACCTAGTGAGGTGCAAGACAATGCTACAAACTGGTGCACATAAAAGCCCCGGCACTCAGGCTATGCTTGTAATTGCAAGTGTTTCCTCTGAACTTCTATTCTTTCCACACTGTGAATTTGCCAAAAATCACTCTCAAAAGCAAAAAGAAATAAAGCCTTGGACTGGGGGAAAGGTATCATCAAACCAGATTTCTTCTTTCTCCCTTGAAATGGTGAGTGAAAGCACTCTGACTGGACTACCAGTCTTTTCCTGTTTCTTTGATGAAAACTTTACCATGCAACCACGTTAGACAGGAAATTCACTGAATGCAGCCAAGTCAATGCAAATGCTCTTTCGGGACAGAAAGCCCTGCCTTGGACTTTGCTTTTCTCAAGTCTCCCGTTCCCATTTGTCCAAACACCCAGTTCTGCTTCATGCCATGTTTAGCACAGAAAAATTGAAATTAAAAGCATAAACATTATTTAAAAGGAACGTGTTCTGAGGTTTCAAAGTTGGCTTTGGAACTGTTTGTTTTTTAAAAGAGAAAGTCTGTTTAAAACAGCTAAAAACTGTTTGTTTTAAAAGAAAAACTCGCATGACCAAATCAGAAAAATCAGACAGCAGCAGTCAGAAACTGAAGACCGAATCAAATTAGTGGTTACAAGAAATATTCAGCCTGTTAATCACGTTTGAGCCATTTTAAACTTAGTGAACTGATATAAAATATCTGATAATTAGTAGCAATAGTATTAGTATACTAGTATACATAGCAGATACTGTGTGTGTGTGTGTGTGTGTGTACAAGCATCCTTCTGTGTCCCCAGGGGACTGGTTCCAGGACCTTGCCTGACGAGGACAGCAAACCACACCTGCTCAGGTCCCTTAGGTAGAATGGCCCTGTGTTTGCATATAACCTCCTCCCATAAACTTTATATCAGCTCTAGAGCCCCTGTAATACTTAATGTAATGTAAATACTAAGCAAACAC